TCAAGTTAACAATGTTAATTATAGAAAACAAAAATTTCACTTTGCAAAGTTCCAGGGATTGAAAAGTTGTTTTGCTATAATTAAGGGATAGAATATTATACTTCGTTTCAAAATATAATAGCTTGGATCGAGAAATTTTAATAAAATTTTATCAAAGGACATATATGGATGTTATGTTGAAAAAGGTTCAACATAAAAGGATTCTATATTTAGCAATATTATAGCAGGAGATTGGTAAAGTATCAAGTCGTTATGTAATACATTATATATCGTATCTTATACGCTTCGGGTATAGGATCGATTGCATATGCTGTAATATTCAACCGTTTTAAATTTTCCAAATGCCTAGGGCATTAAGAGGGAAAACGAACTAGAACCGGATTGACTAAAGTAATTAAACAACTTTCAACTACAATCTAAGGTTCGCTAAGGATTGATCGCTTGTGAGCAGTTGGAAGTATAGTAATGAATGGACCATATCGACATTATTATGAATAGATAAGACTCTATTTACAATGAGTTGTCGTATGGAAAATATGGGAATGTTTCCATATTGGGATTTGGATATCGAAAATCTATGTCTATATTAGAAACTTTTATGCAAGAAGGACGTTTAAAGGAATGTACTTTGAATGTGAGACTTCATGTCTATGGAATTGTCTTGTAACAATCTCCAAGCACTTTGTAATTTCATTGGCAAAGTCTTGGTAACTTTGGCTTTATGACATTACGAAAGGGTCATTGCATAAAATGTTAGAATCCAGCAGTGGCAAGAATTTGATATTCTTACACTAACGATAAGGATAAGGAATTGTGAAATGAGCATCATTGGGAATGTTTTCAATTTATCTATTTCACAAGTAAGGAACATAGGTAAACATAGTCTGCATGCTTGGTGCATGGAACAACTATTGTTGTAATGCAAGTAATAAGTTGATTATCTGAAACATTATACAATGAATAATGAGTAATCAATATGGTGATTAAACAAAGGTGTTTTATTTTACTTAAAAGTTTGGGGCCGTATAGGATTAGTTTTATTCTTGTGTTTTACTTTGCATGTTTTGACTTCCTGAATAATAAGATTCTTCAAACCATCCACATTTGATCATACTTTGGAAGTAGGTATGAGAGAAGACTGTCATGAATCTGACAATAGATTGTCTAAAGTGTTTTAGACATAGCAAAAGTCTGTTGTAGTGTTCATGAGTGCTCCTGAAATAAGATTTGAGTATTGGATTAAACCCACACTCACTTGGATCGCTTCATGGATTTTATCACGAGTGATTGGTAAGACGATAATATCTTATATTCTTGAAGAGGAGACATGTGAGTTGTAGTTTGCAAGTCGGTTGCACATTGATAATATGTAAACGCACCAGTAACTTGGTGTTATAAAACATATTGTTGTGTGTGATTCGATGAGTAGGTACAAGCGAGCATTTGAGTTGAAGTTTATCCGTTCCTTTTACTCAGAGTGGGATAAAAACGATATATGTGGGCCCCTCGATGATTTAGTGATGACACCCTAAGCGCTTGGCCAAGCCGGGACTAAGTTGATGTGTTCAATTGTAGTCTGTTGTCAGTCGTCATAAATCAAAAATCGGGAAACAACACATGAACAGAGAGTATGATTAAAATCCATGTCTCAGTTCATACGATATCTAGAATGTAGGAATATATGATCCCTTATCTAAAGGATATGTAACTGATAAGATCAAAGTTGACATCGGCTTTTGAAAGCTATGATTGCTGATTAGGATCTGAAGTTGTACTTGAAAATAGTTATTAGACTTATCCAAGTGGGAGACTATAGGATTAGGTGTCTAAGCCCATAACTATTTCGGTATATACTTGACCCGATTACGAGCATGGTCCTTTTGGGTTGCCTTCACCATAGCAACTGATAGGATGAATTAAGGAGAAAGAGGATTAATTATGATTTATTAATATATTATAAGAATAATATATTAATGGAGAAATCATATTGTTTAATTAATATTAGTCAAGAATTAATTAAGAGTTAATTTTCTGGTTAAAAGAGATTAATTAAACTTGGGGGGACTAATATTGTAATTATAAGATAATTGCATTGTAGGCTGTGGGTTCCTAATGGAAAGGGGATTGGATAAAATCTATGGGAAGACCATATGATTTTCATCCAAGGGATATCTAGAGGGACTCCATGGGTTGCTTATGGCCTAAGCAGGGAATTAGGGTTTCACCTGAAACCCTAGCAGCCCACACAAGTATAAAAAAGACCCATAGGGGTCCCAAAAACGTGGCTAAGCTTTCTCTAGAAGATCTTGGATGTTTTTGGTGCTCCTCCTCCCTCTCCTAAGTCATCTTGTTGCTCATGGTGTTTGTGATTCCATTAGAGGTGCAACATTTAAGGCACTAAGCCTTCAAGAGTCAAGATCAAAGAGATTTGTGATTGTTATTGCTACATAACAATCAAGGTAAGATCTAAACCCTAATTCATATGTTAATTCGATTATTGTGTAACATCCATAAATTTTACGCCAAATTTAAACTTTTTCAATCATAAATAAAAACCAAATAACATTGTTTACAAAATGTTTTCAAATCATTTCCCATCAGAGTGTCCCAAAATTCATGACATAAGGATGATGAGCGGTACGGTCACGCCTTCGCCTTTCCCTGATCTCCTGAAGTACCTGAAACAATAAACTGAAAACTGTAAGCCCGAGGGCTTAGTGAGCTACCCCCAAAATACCAATACGACACTGATAATACCATATCAGTAATAATCAATCAATCAACATGCATAATGGGCCATCGGCCTGATTGGACCGCCCTACCGGGCCTACAGTCTGTCTGAATCTATCCCGAGCCTTTGGCATGACTGGTCCGCCACGTGGGCCTACAGTCTCCCCGGATCGCTCATATGGTATATTGGCCTTCAGCACAAAGCAAGACCGCCTCAACCCAACCAAAAGCAAATAACCATGTGTGCATACTATCATATACATGCATATACAAACATCAAACATATCTGTCACACTGATCATCATTCAAAGAATTCTCCTGTAACTAGAGTATCGACCTAGCAGGTCACTAACATACCAATCCCTACGGATCATAAGAGCATAACATACTGTCTACCCCGATTCCTTCCTTGCAACTTGAAAGATACACACTCATACATATCCAAGAGAAAACTCATCCGACTTTCCGAGTTGTTCTTCAACTCGTCGAGTCTTATGACGATCTTCATCGGACTCGCCAAGTTGTTCATCAACTCGTCGAGTTCACGACCATCTTCATGTGACTCACCGAGTCCATTCAGTCCCTTTTCCATACAGACTTGTTTTGAGCCATGCAACGGCTCCAACTCAAGTGTCTACATAAAAGAAGATAAAACCACATCAAGTGTCTACATAAAAGAAGATAACAAGTGTCTATATATTTAATTGACTATGTAAGAAAATAAAACCACATCAAGTGTCTACATAAAAGAAGATAACAAACAAATCTACCATCGTTTATAAAACACGGGACCAATTGGTAATTGGTAATTTTGTCTAAATTTCATTCATTTTAGAACTGTTAAATAAATAAAGAGAAATTAAATTACCTTCTACCTTTTATACCTACTATTGTTCCTATCCTCTAAAATTATGACAAATCACCACTCAATTTTATTTTATTTGATATATTCCTAATATATCACTAATGAGATTGTTAAAAAAATATGGAATGATGATACTTGTCATAATTTTATTAGGTAGGAACATTTATAGACATAAAAAATAGTAAGCAATTTAATTTCTCATAAATAAAACACCTTTAAGGCCTTAACTCCGTGTATTACGAGGATAACAAACGAATCTGCCATTGTTTATAAAACACGGGACCAATTGGTAATTGGTAATTTTGTCTAAATTTCATTCATTTTAGAATTGTTAAATAAATAAATAAATAAAGAGAAATTAAATTACCTTCTACCTTTTATACCTACCATTGTTCCTATCCTCTAAAATTATTACAAATCACCACTCAGTTTAATTTTATTTGATATATTCCTAATATATCATTAATGAGTTTGTTAAAAAATATGGAATGATGATACTTGTCATAATTTTATTGGGTAGGATCATTTATAGGCATAAAAAGTAGTAAGCAATTTAATTTCTCATAAATAAAACACCTTTAAGGCCTTAACTTCGTGTATTACAAGAGGTGCAAAACTCATAAATGTAGTTAGGTACTTAGGTATGAGTTTATTGAAATTTATAGGCTTTAACGTTTTATCTATTATTGTTAGGGACACCTATGAATCATATTTAATAAGCTACGTAAATTAATTAAATATTCCTAATAAAAATTTATAATTATTAATTAATTATTTTTAAATAAATCATTTTAAATTAATTATTAATTAAGAGATATATGAAATTTTATAGTTATTATAACTTCAAATTTAACATATAATTAGAAAAATGTAAATTTGAATTGTGAAATGAGTTGCCTAATATATCTACATGACACATGACATAAAATTAATGAGGAGTTGTATTAAAATGACATTTGGCGAAAAAAGATTTAAACTATTCATTTATTAAAATAGGGATATAAAATCAAATATTGCAACTCGTACGAAGTGCCACAATAATGTTTCATATACTAAGATCGGACGGTATACTGAGAACCGTATGGTGCTGTTTGTAAACTGTATCCAGGAACACTAGGCCCTGGTACGGTTTAGAGGGGTGGGTGTGCGTTCCGGTACATTCTTTCTTCTTCTGATTGACCAATGTTGTAATATATATATATATATATATATATATATATATATATATATATATATATATATATATATATATATATATAGGTAGGTTCAAATATGGATTAACAAATATTGTGTGGATGTATGGATTAATATGGGACAAGTATTATTTAATTTTAATAAATAATTAATTAAATCTTCCACCCTTTAATTTAGGCAAAATACTTTATTTTAAACCCTATTGCCTATTTCATCCACACCCACAAAATTGCCTCCCGCTTCCATCAAAGATGTCAAGATCTTCGACACAAAATCGCCTCCTGCTTCCATTGTTGTGTTGTCCGCCATTCCGGTTGTCGTGACTAATTGAGATCATCTCCGGGGTTCGAAGAGGTTGAAGAGACAGATGGAAGAGGGGACGTCTTAGTCTCCGGGGTCGGTGAGGCCGAAGGGGAAAAGCAGCACAGGGTCTGCTCCGACAATCAAATGTGAATAGAAGGGAGAAGGCTGATCCGAGAGGGTCAAGGCAAGCAGCAACAACACACGATATGGGGAGATGCGAAGGAGGCTGCTGCCATCCTGACCACTGTGTGCTTCATCGATTCACCCAACCCTATTCTCTTAGCCATCATCGATTTCTCCCAGGTAAGTTCTCGATTCCACAATATCAGTATGTTGTTCGGTCCCTCAATCTAAATTTGCGTTTTTTAATTTTTTTTTTTTTTTTGTCAATTCAATTGTTCAAAGTTTTCTTCCTGCAATTCTAGATTCGTTTTACCTGTGAGTATTTTGGTTAACAATATGCTTAATTGATCATTTCATAATTTGTTTTACATGTTATTCTATAAGATGCACTTCAAATCTTCTTTAAATGATAGTTGAAGAATGTTCTTCTTCTTCAAGAATGATATTTTGAATCTCAACCGGTCAAGAAAAAGTTTGTATCAAGAATGATGTATATTGAGGCAACAAGTTGTATGTATTTATATTCTTGAACTTTATTTTTTGTATGTGTTTTTTTTTTCAGGACCACTCGGAAAGTAGCAAAGTTATTTGGAACAACAATGGTGGATGGAAATAAGAGACAATTTAATGAGAACTGAGATTCACCACTCCAAAATGTCAAAATATAACAACATGAAACAAGAATGAGAATGAAGATTCTTTGATGAATTGTATTCTTATAGAATGAAGATTGTTTTCAAGAACGACTTACTATAAAGCTTGTATTCTTATAGAATGTGGCAAAAATGCAAAAAATGACATTGTATTTTTATAGAATGTGATAGTAAAAATTGTTTTTTTGTTTATTTTTGGACCTTAGATTCTTCAATAATATTAATAATAGATGAATATCCTTTAAGAATATTGTTATTCTTCAACTCATGGTTCAAAAGTTTGTTATTATTCAAAATGTTCATTCAAACAAAATATGTATTCTATTAAAATATGTATTTTAAACTTTTGGTCCACATTTATCCATACATCCATACAATACTTACCATCCATATTATAACCTAGCCATATATATATATATATATATATATATATATATATATATATATATATATATATATATAAAAGTTTTTATTAAATTATATATAAACTAAATAATATATTAAAATTCATGGTTTTTAATTTCCTACAAAATAGTATAATATTTTTATAAAATATATTTAAAAAAATAACAAAAAATGACATGAAATGAAATGTGACAATTTCTTAAATTTTGAAGAGTGACACTATCGTGACATAAAAAAAAATGAAAGATAAAAAATATATACACATTTGAGTCTAACATACTTTCATTAACTTGTTCTCTTCTTTATTCTTGAAGATTATGTGTAATCTAATACTAACAAAGAATGCAATAATTTATAAATAAGATCTTATGTATAAGTCTAAACATCATTTTAATCCGAGTACATTGTAATTTACCTTATTTATGCTGGATATAAATTAATTGGTACGAAGCCGACACGACAACATTATTATCTTGACGATATATTATTATACAACCTAACTTGTTTGCAAGTTCTAAACAATGGCACACATATTAGTTAAGATAAAAAAAAAACATTAAATGGAGTCCTTATTAGTTATTTGACTAAAGCTACGGATAACTAAATGGCACACCCCATAAATGCAATGAAAGGTTTATTTCTTTTTCAAAACAGTGATACATCGAATCAAACTTTATTTTTATATTTACCAAAATGAATATTCTATCGATCGATAACTGATTTTGATATACGTGTGAACTTAGAAAATTTTAGTCTAAAAATATTATGATCACATCCTAATTAAAATGATAATAAAAACTCACAGGACTAAAATGTATCGACTATATACAAGTGGTGTTGATGATCGAAAATGAAAGAAAACCCATATGAATGATTTGTTTATGATTGTTCGATTGTGTAGCTTTTCATTTTACAAAAATTAATAATATTTCGAATTTTAGAACTTTACATTTAGGAGCAAAAGAAATGGTTTTTTATTAAGAAAATCGATAAAAACGTTACATGGACATGTTTTTATTCCAAAAACGGTTTAGTTATCCTTAAACACACAATTATTATACCAATACATATCTAAAAACAAGATATATAATATAAGTCATATTGTATGTTTAAAGACAACTAAACCGGTTGTTTGGTTCGATTCAATCCAGATCCGAAACTCCGAATCAATATTAATCCTAAATATGATTTATATGTATGGATATCTTAACGAATTGAAATTTGATAAGGTGACATATTTGATATTATTGTACGAATATAAATATATAATTGATATTTTAGTTAAATCTTGAGTAAAAGATCAAACACCCATAACGAAAAGTACAAACCCAATAATTTATATCTTAAAGTAACAAATATTTTCATTAAAGAAACCGGAAATAAATAAATAAACAAAATCCATAAATCGATCAACATTTCATAACAATCTATCCATCCATTTAGCTACAATTTGAGTTTTATATCTTCTCATGATACAACAATTTGACAATATATTAGTGTCAAAAAATATGGAGAAAAAAAAAAAAAATTAACAGGACCCATTTTCACAACATACCGACTCACTATCACATTTTCATTCTACACCTTCATATAATAAAAAATGGACCCATAAACCGAAAATATTAATCGATTAAAAACAAATTCCACGTCATCATCATGGTGACGTCAACAACCAACCTGACCTCGAAATTCAAGAAACACAAGCGCAGCTCCATAATGAGCCAACGCACCCATAATCACAAAACAATGAAAAATCTGATGACTATGTCCCGCCAAATCAAACCAACCAGGCTTAAATCTTTCTGGGATTCTGCTAATATAAAACATGGTACCAGTCAGATATGAAACCGCCATCGCGGTTTCATATGCGAGGATTCCATTCCTCTGCGGTTCATGCCAGTTGACAACAACAGCATGAACCGCGGGTACGAGCCCAAAAAGGCCCATACCCATAAACAGAAAAGCCCGAAAAGACCGGAACTTTCCACTAGAAAGCGCTGGTGCCAGTAAGGTTATAACGGTAAATACGCCCATGGCTGTGATTCCGCCGAGGTAGACAAATTGCCATATGGGCTCGCATTGAAAAATGTAGTAAATTGGAGGGAAAAATGAGGTGATGATCATGATGGTGATTCCGACATAGTCCATTTGGAGGAGGAGGAGGTTGAGGTGGTGCGAGTGGCAGCCGAAGAGGTGGCACGTGGAGGAGGAGAGGAGGCAGAACATCGAGCCGCCCAAGAACACGAAGAATGGCCACCGCGTTGCCGCTAGTAGTGGCGGCCCGATGTCCATGTCTAGCGGTGATTCGTGCTTTAGGTCGATGAGTTTTGGTGTATCCTGTTCAAGTCAAACACAAAATTTAGAATGTTGACTTTTGTAAAATTTGTTTGACCTAAAAAGTCAAAATACATATCTAGTAAGAAATAACGACTCACCATAATTGAATTATGTGACGCGTTTGCACCTGGGCCTAATGGGAAAGACCTGAAATTTTGATAAAAATTAGATCCAATTTCGTACTTTTATAAACTTGTTTGCTATAGCATCATACTTTAAAAATTTTCTTATTACAGTTTTGTACTTTGAAAAAATCTATCTATTTATAGGAATGTTATGCAAATTGAAATTTATATTTATTGCTAAAATTAGGTAAATTTATTAAAGTACAATGTCCTAATAAGAGAAAAAATAAAAAACAGTACAATGCTATGATTAGTAGATTTTTCTAAGGACAGTGGCTTATTAAGAAATAAACTGAAAAAACAAGTATGTTATATACTTATATGTTACTAATTCTTTCATTTGGACCTATAAATTAAAATAAAAACAAAAAATCATTCAAGAAAATCAGAATTAACATTATTAAAAAAAACAATATTACTATATTAGTTTAACATGTTGTACAACCTGTTTCAAGATTCTTTATTTGGATAATTTATGATTTCCCTACAATTCTTGACAGCATGTTGTGGGTGTCAATTATGATTTTTTTAAATTCCTATTCAAAATTATAGCATTTTTTTCTGTTGACAGCTTAAAAATAAAATTACATATTTATCCATTATCATCATCAAATAAATTAAAGATATTGATTCGGTCTTGTAAAGATTGAAGGATCTTTATGACAATTAACCAACTAAACAAAATCCAAAAGTCCTTGCACGTTTAATGATATAAATGCAATATTTTTTTAAAATAGTCCCAAAATAAAAGCAAACAAATGTTTATTTCTTAGCCTAAAAGTATATAGCATCAATCATCAATCTGGATCCGTATGTTTACCCTTTATTTTATCATCATCTAATAGTCAAACCATTTTTAATAAAACTGTGAAGAGGAGAAAAAGAATCTTACATACCAAGTTAACAAATTGAGGAACTGTGAAACTTGAGGCACATGCATAACGTTTGTAATGGTTAATCCCACAAATACAACAAATCCGATTAAATGCCTACACATGAAAAACAAGAAAACAGCCAAAAATATGTCAGTAATACCACTATTTAACCCTACATATCGCAACAAAAACCATCACAAAAAGACAAGCATATTGCATCATAGCTTCTTATTTTCACAATATTATTTTCACAAATGTCGGCAACAAAAATTAAAAATATAGTGATTCTAAAGCTAGAATCACTAGTTATTATTATGACTGGTAAAATGAAAAGACTTGTTGTGCATAGTACAAGCCTTGAAAAGTTAGGTTTTGAACTATCAACATCTCACAACAAAAGAATAACAATGATGAGGACAAATCTAAGCAAGGGTCATAGAGATTTTAATAGTAACTTTAAACATAACCAAAAACATCAACATCAAAATTCAGGCTCTTTTTTTGAAGGAAATGATGAGAAGTGAGGAAGAATGTACATATCGTTATGCATATGGTACAAGTTGATTACAAATTATGTGTGAAAGGGTAGAATTAACAGAGATAACATCAAGGGGATACCGAAAAAAGTTAATAACAAGTGCAAGCTCCAATTTGATTGGAATGATGAATTACGCATAAAAAAGAGGTGTGATGATTTTAAATTTATATAAACTAGTAAAAGGAAGGTACAAGGTTCTATTTATGGTGTAGAAGATTTTGTACAGTTTGCAAATCGATTGAATCTTTCTGAATCATCAAAATGCCCAAATAAAAGTTTGAAAGATGAAATCAATAGGAATCAAAAGTTGAATAAGTGTAAGTTCCCATTTAGTAGGAAATCAAGTAAATTGATGATAAATATTTTCAAATCCGTCGAATATTTCCTGATTATTTGTAATGAGCAAGAGATGAAATTATCGACAATACATTCACAGAAATTTCATAATATTTGAATCTATTTGAACTAACAAGAGGTTTTAAGTTGTCATCGTGAAGAAAATCATGAAACCCCATTAGTTTGAAATAACTATCATGAGAGAGAGAGAGAGAGAGAGGGAGATACAGGAAGAAATGGAGACAGGGAGAGATTACACTTACGTCCATACATTTAGGGTTTCATTGTGCCAGCGGAAAAGGCTAAAAAGGGCTTGCTTTAAAGGCCAATCAGCTCTGTAATAATTCAAAATAAACTCGTTATCCTTCATATACTCTGGTAAATCTTCAAATCTCAATAACGGGTACTCTGTTCGGGTCTTCTGATTCACAGTCTTCTTGTTCCTGTTCTTGTTTTTCTTCTTATTTGAGGCAACAAGAAGCTGTGATTTGTCATCATCGCAACAGATCTCTTTAGATCTTCTCTTCCAAACAGACCCGTCATTGGAGTTCATGTTTTCTTGAATCTGTTACTCCCAGAACACAAGTATATATGTATGTGATAAGGGATTTTGAATAGTGTTAGAATCAATGAATCAATAAATCAATGAATCGATCAAAGACCCACATGTAGAACGTATTTATGGAATGAAGGTATGGGAGAGAGATTTAAGGCAGTTAAGGCTATTGGAGCAACTACTACCTACAACTTCTACATTAAAGGCACCCACCTTTCTTTATTTTTGATTAAACACTCGGCAAGTATATACGTATAAGATATTCTATTATTCTATTACACTTACAAATTACAAAAAATTTAAAATTATAAAATAAACTTGTGGAAGATTAGCTCGGTCTAAACGGTGGACAACTGGTACTTGAGATTCATATGTGTAGTTTAGGACTTTATAGAAAGTTATATCAAAATTAACCAATTAAAGATATACCAATTAAAGATATTATTGAATTGATAATTACTTTAACATTAATTATAAATATACATCAATTTATCAAAATTAACTAATTAAAGATATGATTGTCATCTTATCAATTTCGTTTAATTTTTTGTGTTATTGGAAATATAATAAAAATGTTTAAAAATTAACATGATAAATCAAATTTTGGATTTTTTTTTTTATAAATATAATAATTTTCGATTTTTAAAAATTCATATATTTTTTTTAGAAAACGTGGATTTTTTGTAAAAATTTAATTTTTAAAAAAAGACTAAAATTGTAAATTTTTAAAAATTAGAAAATAAAAAAAAAACTATAATCTTTTTATCAAAAATAAAAAATAAAGTTTTAGGTGCATATATGAATATTTTTTTCAAATGCATATATGTATATTTCTTATACTCTAATATTCCTATATAAATCATAAAACTCCCATTTATATATACTAATCGTTAAAGACAATAGTACAAATATTATATTTATACAAAATAAAATATAAAAAACAAAAAATGTTACAAAATTTCAAAACGTTTTCGTGTAATCGTGTCAAGATTTTAATATTCTCTTCAATTTATTACTTTTCACCTATTCATTATTTTCCATAAATTCTTCCATATCTACAAGAAAATTATAAAATACTGATTAATACAAAAACACTTACAAAAATGCATATGTATATATCATGTAGGATTCGCATATGATTATATCATGTAAGATTCACATGTGATTATATAATATGATATTCATATGTGATTGTATCCTTTAAGATTTATATGTGATTTACATGTGAATCACATGTGATTCACATGTAAACAGTAATTCATATGTGGTTTACATGTGAATCACATGTAATACATATATGATTCACTTGTGATGTACATTAATCACATGTAATTTATATGTGATTCATTTGTGATTTACATGCGAATTACATATGATTCATATGTAATTTACATGTAATTTATATGCGATTCACTTGTGATTTACATATGAATTACAAATGATTCATATGTGAATTATATGTGATTTACATGTGAATCATATGTAATTCATATGTGATTCACTTGTGATTTACATATGTAATTCATATGCTATTCACTTGTGATTTATATGTGAATCACATGTAATTCAAATTATTAAATCAAATTATAAAATAAAAAAATGATGAAGACAATATATACCAGTTTGGTCTTTTGTAACGAGGCGCCAAGTAATAACACGAGGCCGTACAACACTAAGTAGTTCATTGAAGAATATGTCATCTGATAAACTCTTGTCCCGGACAATGAAAATTAATATAATGTGTATATTATATAAATATATTTAATTATAAATTTATAATATAAAGTTTATTTTTGTAATACCTTGAAGCTTTTCATATAGCTTTGGCTTCTAGTGCTTCTGACTTTGGTATTAGCCTAGTCCATAATATCAACATCAATGAATTCCTTCCCAAGTGAATAAGATCTTAAGTACTTGACAAGTTGTAGGATGTTGAATCGCATCAATTGCCATAAGTAAAGCTGGAAAAGAAAGTAGAATTACCATTTTACCATTTTCATCACAGAAAGCTAACAAATCAAACATTGGTTTAAAGTAAACTTACCAAGTATTTGTTGGGTTTTTATTTAAAAATTTTGGTTTCACAAACGGTAAAATTGACAACGGAAGCTTTAAAAATGTTGAATAAAACTAAAACTATTTTACTCACCAAGGATCATTTTGCAAGAGTTAGAGAGATTAAAACAACCATAGCAGGGAAAACATAATAACATTTGAAGACTTTGATCCTAATGGGAGGTTGGAAGTTGATGAAGTGTGGCATGAAACTCTAAAGCAAGAGTTCTCTACAAGTATTCACCAAACAAAATTAGAACGATCAAAACATGCTAGTATTCACTTGTAATTTGTTGTTGACAAGCCTTTGAAATATGTACCAGATATATGTTCAAAGGTGAAGCAACAAAGGGACATTCTTTGACATGAAAATACAAGAGAATGGAGGAGGAAGAAGCCTTCAATTTCTGAAATTTGGCAACCCTCATGGTGCTCTCTCTATTTTCGGATCACTTACTGAATATACAATCACTTGAGGTTTTACCAAATAAACATTATCCTGTCGTGAACATCTCTTTGTTGTGTTGCGTCTATAGTTATTATCTACATATAACAACGTACTTTTCTTACACATCACGTACCCTTTAACATCGCACCACGATCTTAAAGTATATTACCATTTTTATCACTCGTTATCAATATATGGCTTAATTCAATTTCTCAATGAGCCATTCACATCGGTGGTCGCCACATTTCCCTGGGTAAATACATCCACTTATTAATCTCTAACATTTTTCCTGCATCACTGTAGGACATAGTCTACTAATTGGGATAACTCGTTCCCTTTTGTATTACATACACGAATCATCATTCCGTTTACTATAACCTATTAGTCGTTTACATTATCTCATCTTAGGTGTTATATCTCCACTTCTACTCACTTTTCTCTTACTTTTATGCTTGGTCATGATATGTAAAGAAATATACACATAATTTCGAGCATATCTATCGAATGTGACCCCCTTTCATGGTATATAATGCACCTTGCATCCATTATAGGCCTTGATTTACATTTTTTCTCTTTATGTTCTTCTACTCCAGACCGGTAACATGTTGTTCCTGCTCACACGAAACGAATGTTCTAAGGATCGATCTTTCGTATAACACTAGACTTTTCCTTCCTCATTAACCTATGCATTACCCACCACATACAAGAAAAAAGGTGAGGAACCAAATATATTCCCAATTTACTCACCTAGATCGCAACATAATACCATCGACTTGATGTAGACCACCACCGGTAACTCTCAGGGTTGATTCGAAGCGGATGGGTTGGTTTACTATTCGGTTTGGTGGAAGCTTTGTCGGGATGTGTAACTGTAATAAGTAGATGTTGTTGTAGACGTAGGTGGAGGTATCAATGGTATTAGTGTTAGACTTTAGGTGACGGTAATGGTGGCAAGGAGGAGTGTTGAGGTGCCCATGATTTTTCTTTTACATACAAATATGGAAAACTAAAAGTTTGTGTGAATTTTTCACCTGCATCTTAAATCTATCGATTTACAAATTGGAAATAGATTTTGAGTAATTTTGGGGGAAATCTATGTGTGTGTGTTTGATATTCGTGTGTGGAAGAAGGTAGGATTGTTAAATGTGTGTGTGTTATTGATTAGGTTAAGAATAGAAATCTCAAAATCATCAGAGTGGGTTAAGAACACAAATTTCAAAATTTGTTTCTGCAAACACACATGCATACACGATTAGTGGCAGAGGGTATGTGTTCTTAAATAGGTGGGTGTGTGTGTGTTCTTGATTGAATATATGTTTGTTTGTCTTAAGTTGTGAAGAAAAAACCCAACTAATATGGATTGTATGTGTGTGTGAGAGAGAGACTTAATTTTTTTAATTAAAATTTAAATTATAGAAAAACATAAAAAAATATTACATAGGCATTTCAGTCTTTTTAGTTTTTCAATGGACCAAAATTACAAGCAAACGTGGTCAAAATGACCATTAATCTAAAAAAAAAAAAATCAAGGTTTAGGTAAAAAAATAAAAAATAAAAAAACATATCACATGGACCATTTTTGCACCTTTGTCCGATTATAAAATAGTATGAAAGTGATATTGCCTATGATATGACAAAAAATTTTGCAGAAGCCCACCATCCTTAAGACACATTTTATAGTCTATATGCCCATTTCCTTGGGTGTCATGTTAAGTTTATGATATTTTCATAAAGTAGTTATTTTTTGCTACTTTTTTTAAGTAATTAAAAAATGATTAATTTTATATTTTTTTCTTTCTAAAAATCATAAGTTCTTGATTTACATTTACCTTGTTCTAAACCTAATTGTTGGCTACTAGTATAATTATACTATGGGTCTTAAATGTTAATAGATTTTGTTATGGTTTTGTCGAAAACGATGATTAATTCGTTGCAAGCAAGTCATGTTGTCCAACGTCCATTAACAAACAAGTATATTATCATGTAGTTGATAGCATGACAAAATAATATATAATATTTAACTTTATCACATGTAAATCAGTTTTACAGTTTGGTATCTTACTATCTCTCGTCTAATAAATTACTAGAATTTAAATAAATTGTAAGGGAAGTGTTAATTATGAAATAAAGTGACAGATAACTGTTATATATGAATACATACGTTATATACAATTATATTATTTCGTTCTGTTTTTCTTTATACAGGGTTTAAGGTTACTTGTGTGCCTAAATGGTTGGTTGACCATGATCTGCTCTAGGAAGTTGACCTAATTTTTTTCGGCAAACAATATTATATTATAAAACATTGTATCATAAGTATTAGCAAGTGTATACTATTATATTGAATTGATTTCGTAGCAAACAAGAAAAAAAAATACCGACTTTTGATATCATCGTATGAGTCAAATGTCAATCACTCAAAAGACATCAAAATGTAGGTGAAGCCGTGAAGAGTTGGGCTATTTTTAAAGCTTGAACAAATTGTTGGTATCATTTTCATGGGGGCATTTATTGAGCATACTAGATATGCACGACTGCCGGAAAAAAAAAGGGAAAATGACGTATATGCCATATTATGTTTTTAGGGTTTACCCATTTATCCATTTAACTTATTTTGTGGTTTTATCAGAAAACGAAGTCGTGAACAACCTGTCTTTTTAGTCACTTTCACCTATTTTAGTAGGTTTCAATACCACATCAGCAAGATTTCCCCCATCAGTCATGTCATGTCATCGATTACCATTACCCCACCCCCTACCCAATACCCTTCTACTCTTCCCTACAAGAACTTCAATTCACTGGTGACCATCTCCGATCACCATCTCCGGTTCAAACCACCTGTCAATTAATTTGCCCCCTTTTCCATTTGTCACCCATTTCTTTTATATGAATCTTAACCCCACTTTCACTCTCGATCTCTTGATCTCTCAATAGAAAACAAAGCAATTCTCTATCTCCAGTCATTCTTGTCGCCCTTAATTACGACTTTCTCAGCACTTCATCTTTTCCTCTCTCCTCTTTCTCTCTATATCTCTACATCGATATATAAATTAGGGTTTTTGGCCCTTTAATTGGTTCTTTTAGATGAGTGCCTTGTCGGGCATGTTGCTTACAATATTAAAGACTTCGATGAATCATCTGTTGGTACAAGTATTGTTGCCACTGCTACAACTGATACTTTTGCTGTTAACGAGCCTTTAGAAGACGTTATTGTTGCTGATTCTGATGCTTATGGTGGCGACGATAGTGAAATTGGTAGATGAGGTGGAACTGCAGGGGATCCTCTGAGAAGTTGTTGGCAGGGGAGAGCGGAATCTGGTTGATGGATTGGTTCTATGCGTCCAAGTTTCCGACTCGATTTGGTTTTACGGTGGATGGGTATATTGATCAGAAGAATGACCAAAGGCTTGATGATTCTGGTGCTTATCGTGGCGACGATAGTGAAATTGGTAAATGAGGTGGAACTGCAGGGGATCCTCTGAGAAGTTGTTGGCAGGGGAGAGCAGAATCGGGTTGATGGACTGGTTCTATGCGTCCAAGTTTCCGACTCGATTTGGTTTTACGGTGGATAGGTATATTGATCAGAAGAATGACCAAAGGCTTGATGATTGTCTTCACTATTGCATTGTTGCTGGTAAAAAGGTTCTTGAAGATGCTGATATTGGTGGTGATAAATGCTCTAAGGTTTGTTGTTCTATTGAATTTCAATCGTTTTTCATGCTTGGATCAGGTTGTTATTTGGGTAATTTGAACTGTATGAATGGAATTTGGTGGATTTGGGCGATATTAAAAAATTGAAAATCTATGATGAATTAAAATGACACTAATTGAGGTTTAGTGAATGGATGCCCAGTAAGCATAAATGGAAAAATGTGACAAATTTCATCATTTTGAAACTTTTTCTAATCGTTATTTATCTTCATATGCATATATCTCTATAAATTTTCTGATTGAAATGTGTTCAGGATCTGCTATTTATCCATTCAGAGAACAAAAGGGTGTTTAG